CCGTGGTGGTTGTACTCACGTATTTTTGCTGCTTCTTATTCCTTCGATATATGATGATAAGACATACAAATATCAAAAGTGAAACTAGAGTCGCTCCAAGGATGCTTCCGATGATTAGAGGCAAATGTTTTGATTTTGCTGGTGTTTGTGTACTAATAGGAGCTTGTATCATACTTTTGGAGGGAGCAGGATTTGGTGCAGCAAGCGAACCACTTGTTGAGCTCAACTTGAAAATCTCCAGCCCATTGAGCAATGCATCGGCATAGCTAAATGCAACATAAATTACCAAGGATATCAAGTTTTGCAAATTAAAATTGCTTCAGTCAGAAATTAAAGTAAATACTTTTAAATACTCAGATTTTTTTTAATTTAAAATAAAAATAATGTAGCAATTTTAGCAAGGCATAATCCTTCAAAATAGTTGTACAAAAAATTTTGACATGCAACTGTTGTAAACATATGTTGTACATATACTAAATTATATTAACAAAAAAAATATGTTTGTCTATTTTAATCTACTCGCTTAATTAGCTTAGATGGACACAAAAAGTATGTTATCAAGTTAATTTACACTTATAGATTAGTTGCGTACTTGTTCATTTGATCAATTGTTTGTTAAAAAAAAACGAAATAGAATGAAGAACTTACTGTGTATCAAAGTCGGGAATAAGGGTCACCGAGAGAAGAACTCTGCTCCGGCTACTAGTTTCATTGACAAGAATTACAAAATCTGTATGAATTGGAATGTACAAGCCGCCAGCAACACGAAGGACATCCATATTTTGCCAGGCCATTTGATTGTTGATGTATATAGAGAACAATCTACGGTTAATATTGTTGAAGAAGGTAGGGTCTAACTCACAAAAATGGAGTCTCACCAGATAATTAAATCCATTATCAACCTCGAACTCCCATGTCATGTTCTTCTTTAGGCGTTTGATATACGGCCCCATCATCCTCATCGTGGAGTAGACTAAATTAGGCGCTAGTACTGTGTAAGGGATGTGTGTACTAGAATTGTGAATGGCTGTGTAGCTTGGGGTGCCGTCAAAAGAACTGTAAATCAACACAAGAAAAATATTTAATGTTGTAACATAACATGATTCAAATTAAAACCACTTTCTTTATACAAATATTTTATGAGAGTTAAATTAATTAAAGATATTATAATTCAAATTTCCCATTAGATGATGTGCTAAACAATAAGTTTTGTGTAAGACGGGTGTACATTAATTTCATTGTAAGACGGTCAGTTTAAGGGTAACTTTAACTATTTTTATGGTAACTTTAACCCCTTAAAGTGTAACTTATAATTGTATCTTATAGTTTCATGATTACATACTATAAAAAACTAATACTTGTAAGATAAATTAATATACACTCGTCTTTTTGGAGAATTTGGGAATAAACAATACAAGAGAAAGAGAAGTAATTACCGCACAAAGTTAACGTCATTGTACCAAGTCCGGTCAATCCCAGTGTCTTGAGAAGGATCCACAGTGTATCCACCAACATTCAACCGTATAACATTTTCCATAGCTAAAGAGTTTGGAAAATCATAAGGATCCAACACATAACCTGGAGGACCACCTTCTAGATAAAGAACTTGTTGCGGGTTATCCGATGACCGGTTAATGTACAGCCATTGAGGCACAGATATAATCTCTACGCTGTTGATGAACCCGAACCCATTAGGACTGCTTGGAGAGAAGGTTAAGTTGATAGATTTTTTACTATGATCTCGTTCTTCTGCTACGGTGACGTAGATCTCCCTCACAAGGCCATTACTTACTTGCGCTGTGGTATTTGGGTTGGCATTAGCGTTGGAAGCAACAAGGTATGCGCTAAAGTTGCGTAGTACTTGGAATCCATTTATTATGAGGTTGAGGGAAGATGTACTGGTGTCGATAACGGGGTTATAGATTGTCGAGGTTGGTGGGTATAAGTAGAGGCGGACGAGTTTAGGCCCCGAAGAATTGACGGGAATGGAATAAGTGACAGTGGCTCGAAACATTCTGGCCTTGTCATATGGTGATTTGACCCCCACCGCCGTAGCTGATGTGTTAGCAGCTACGGCGGATGGTGGATCAACGAGAAAATCTTCGTCGCTTCGCCATTCAAGGGATTGGTCAAATTTAGAGAGGCCAAATTTGATAAAACAATGGTCTTTTGGATGGTACGATTCATTATGTTGGTAAGAGGTAGCAATTGGTAGGAAGAGGAGTAGTGAGAAAATTGAAGGGAGAAGTTGAGGGTAGATAAGCATGGTTGATTGAATTATCTGCACAAGAAAATTAAATTAATGATGGGTATTGGGTAGTGCTAATTAGGATTCTGTGGAATTGAAATTTAAGGCTAGTATTAGCAGAGAGTTTTTGGTTTTTGGTTCATCTCTTTTACTCTGGAAGTCAATGTTTTTCTACGTTTACTATTCAACTCTATTATATGGAGACGAGTCAGGTGGTACAGAGTAAAATCTAATTTTGTGTATGTATTTTTAAAATTAGCTAAGAAAAGTCTTAATTTGCTACTTTGCGTGTCATTATTTTTTTCTTTGTTTTTTTTTTTTTACAAAAAAAAAAAATAAAAAAAATCAGTTATATTCTTTATTGAATCCTTACCATGATGCCAATTATATAAACATAACAGGATTTTAATTTGAAATTAAAAAAAAATATATATATAGTTTGATTAAATTAATTTTTTTGGTTTTTACAAACATCAACATAATGATAAATTGATAATGTTAATTGGTGGCGTTGCTTGGTTTATAGGCTTAGAGAAATTGAGATATTGTCATATTGAGATGCATCCGTATCGGTTTGTTGTGTGTCCAAAACAACCCTGCAGACAGACCAATTATATCTTCAATTGAACTTATGCTCAGTAACAATTCTGTCACTCTTCAAGCACCATCACGCGGCCTGCATTTTTTTACACACAGCCAGTGTCTATCCAATATGCATTCCCAGCCAAGCCGTAGATTTGAAGGTTCAGTAAATTATTTAGCCAAGATAATAGTATGTGTATGTAACATATACTACGTAGTACGCAGCGTGTCATTATTTTCGAACCAAGATAATAGTATGTGTATGTAACATATAGTACGCACAAAGTGAGTATAAACTAAAAGAAATGGATATATAGACTAAAAAAAGTATGAAGTGTCATATTCAAATTGAAGTACTTAGGTATTGAAATGATAAAGGGGTAAGTTTGACAAGTTGATCGATGTTCTTATCATTCCATCTTTTTGAATCTACAAACATCATATCCATGATAGATTACATACATTTTATACCAAGCTACCAAAGCATGAACAATATAACAAATTACACTTTCGTTTAGGACACAAATAATTGACATCAGACTATCCCGGTACATTTAATCATCGGATCTAGACCCTGGTGCACGAGGGCATCTCAGGTACGGTTTGCACCTATCAGTTGACCCGCCTCCACATAAGCAGTTCCCATAAATGTTAGCTTTACAGATAAGGTTGTTCCGCATACCAATTGTTCCGGTGCATTGATTGGCAACGACAAGGTTGGTGCTCAAACTGAAAACTAGTAGGATCAACAGAAGAGTTGAAGGGGAGAAACAAGGACGACGAACGAACAGAATGTTACTCTTACTCATGGTGTTTATCTCTCTCGTATGATCGATTTAATTTCTTATAAAAATGGAAAAAATAAGTGTATTGTGTAGTATGTGATTGGGAGGTTACTTCTGAAGATATAAAATATCAAATGAAGCTTATATAGTGAATTTGATCTCATTAATTATGTAAATAGTACTTGACCCACCAATTATTTTATGTACTTTGTACAGCTTTTTCTAATACTCACTTATATATGGTCTTTTATTTGATAAATTCGGCTTCATCTTTAGTGAATAGTAAAGGCAACAAGCTTCACCATTGTTGATTCGCCAAAAAGTGTAGAAAGTTAGTTTAAATAAAATACAATATTGTACAAGACTACAAGTGAAATTTGTTGAAGGATTAATAAAAATAAGGCAAAAACCTTACTGAGTGAGCATGCATATTAATTATTAACTTTGATGATACAGTAATAGAGTAGTTTCATTCAAAACTTTTTATAAATAGTCATTTTATTTGAATACGCGTATAATATTAGTTTTCATGTGCCTAAAAATATCATTTTACTTTTCATGTGGTCGTCGGTGCAGCCGTATAGATGGGACATTTGGTGCACCCAATCTCACGGAAGCCAAGGACCAATGATATTGATCAGAATACTTATCTTGGGATGAAAATTGAAGTCATAAATTAGAAAAAATTAAAAATCACTTTACGGCGACTGATGCTTGCAGTCTACTACGGAGTATAATATCAGCAATGTACATAACTTAAGATGAAACTATCCACATTCAGTACGTACACAAAATAAAATAATAATTAAAAAAATGCTAAACTTATTGCAATCCTTCTCCTACATTATTAGCCTTATTACACTAACAGCCCTACTAATCACACCAAGCAGTTGCAAGACTAACAATTACCTCATCAACTGCGGATCACCCACCACCACCTCTGCGGATAACAAAACATGGTACACCGACGAGGACTCAACCTTCGCGCCTTTAACAGCCAACAAAGATGCCACGAAAGTAGCCCACGTCACCAATGAGGATCCATCCTATTCAGGCAAACCCCCTTGTAGCGGAGCTCGCATTTTCCATTCACCTTTCACTTATTCCTTCCCCATCTCGCCCGGCCCTAAAATCGTGCGCCTTTACTTCTACACTTCAGCCACCTACGACAATACCTCCGTTGATAACTTCTTTCTAACTCTAAAGGCCGACGGAGGCAATGGTTCCTTCACCCTTTTAGGTAACTATAGCGCTTATCTTCACCAGCAATTCTTCAAGAACTCTATTCCTTTACCATTACTAATACACTTGAAATGAGAGACTGATTGGAGCAAAACTGAAATGAATATATTATGATAGAGGGAAATTAGGAGCTGAACTGAATTGAACTAATTGGAGCTGAGCTGAAGTGAACTGAAATTAAGTAAATGTGAACATGCCTTTAATGAATCAAATAAATACGAGTACTTGTATAATCTAATAAGTACCTTCAACCTCCCTTTATTCATGCTTTGCAATGTTTGGAAATTTACAATATTTACTCGTATATTATTCTATTTGACCTCTTTGTTTATGTATATGTTGAGCAAAATATAATCACATACATAAAGTCTATCCCAATTTAAATCTTCATAGTACCTAGCTAGGTTTTTACATTTTTGGAATTTAGAGATATAATTGGTCGAAAATATACATTGACAACCGTAAAAACTAAAAATGCGTTGAAACTAATTGAGAACAGATGATTGAAATATTTATTTACATAACCTAATAAAATTAATCTAAGTGATTATATTTTTACATAGGTCTCCACCGATAGGCTGTTTCCCAGCAAAGACTAACGTGGGCAGTCAATTACCATTCTCAATCTTAAGGCCAACAGCCTTAGAGACAGTGAGACGACTAAATGTTGGTGGCAGTGACGTGATTTCGGAAATGGACTCCGGCGGAATGTCACGGACATGGTATAACGACGCTAACTACATCGGCGGGAATTTCAAAGGTGCGATCCCTAACCCAAACAGAACCCTGATAACGGACATCTCTTACACAATAGTGCCCAAATACACTGCACCCAACCTCGTGTACTGGACAGCCAGGATCATGGGTCCTTACAATAACAGCTTTAAGTTGAAGAACAATATTACGTGGGCATTTTCTGTGGATTCTGGGTTTGACTACCTGATTAGGCTCCATTTTTGTGAGATTGATCCTAGTGTTACAAATAGACGTCAAAGAGAGTTTGAAGTTTTGGTAAACAATGAGCAGGCTGATAATGAGGTTGACCCCTTCCACTTGGGTAACAGTTTGCGGTCGACTCCGGTGTGTAAGGACTATGTGACTTCCATATATGAGGGTTCAAGCAAAGCTAGTCTATCAATTACTCTTCGTCCAGATACTGGAAGTTATCTCACGTAAGTTTGTTTATTCAATTTTTTTTCAAATTTTAATCTGATAATATTTTCTAAAAAATAATATCATAAGATAAGTTTAAGTGATGGGTAAGTCTTGTATGTGGCTAGCCACACGGTGTGGCAACATTAATTTATAAGAGTAATCTTAAAATCTCTAAATCAACCAATTAACTTTAGTCATTTTTTATTATTTTTATTTTGACGGGTTAGTCTTAAATAATTGCCTTTAGGTATCATGATGTGATATTAAATGGATTGGAAATTTTCAAGATGAGTCAACCAAATGGGAATCTTGCTGGGCCAAATCCTGTTCTCCCCGGCGATCCAAATAGGCCCAATAAGCCAAATTCGTTACCACCAAGAGGTGGTACAAACTCTAATCACTTAATTGAAATTCTGGTTGGTGTGCTAGGCAGCGTTGTTTTCATAGCCTTAGTCATTGCATCGGCATTTTGTTGGTTGTTGCGGGAATCAAGCCAAAATTACTGTAAGAGGCTCCTTCCATCCAATGGCTCCGGATTCTCCTCCACCAGCAGCGGCGGCTCCTCATTACCGTCTCATCTTTGCCACTGCTTCACGTTGCAGCAGATCATGGTCGCAACAAACAACTTTGATGATCATTTTGTCATTGGCGTGGGTGGATTTGGTAAGGTATACAAAGGATCCATTACAATAAATGGTAAGTTCATCAGTATATATGATTAATGATTATACTTTTTTTTTTTTTTTTTTTTTAACAATTCATTTGCATACATCTAATACAAAATTGTTTATCAAGAGGAGCCCTTGTAGTATAATAATTAAAAAGCTTTTTTTGACTTTTTCAACCAAGAAAAAACACAAAATTGTTTTATATCACCAAACTTTTAAAAGTTTTATTTTACCTCCAACTAAAAATTTAAAATTTGTTTTTCACCACATACAATCAAAATATTAAAGTTATAATGTCAAGTGTTGTTATCTCGTGGTATGACTAAAAGTTTAGCTTTATATATTAGTAATTGATCATCAAATTCATGCGTACAAATTACTTAGCACCGTATTAACGAAACTTGTTGCAGGTGGAACTGAAATCATGGTCGCAATCAAGCGACTAAACCCATCATCTAAGCAAGGGGCTCTTGAGTTCCACACGGAGATTGTGATGCTAACAACACTTAGACACGTGCATTTGGTGTCATTGATCGGATTTTGTGACGAGAATGGTGAAATGGTTTTAGTCTATGATTACATGCCTCTAGGAACCCTTCAGGATCATCTCTACCATAAATATTCTTTTAGACACAGTGACAAAATGGATACCCCAATATATGCTCCCATGTCTTGGAAGCAACGACTCTTGACCTGCATCAGGGCAGCACGAGGCTTACACTATCTACACACGGGTACAGGGAGGGTTATCATCCACCGTGATGTTAAGTCCACCAACATCCTCCTAGACAAGAACTGGATAGCCAAAGTCTCCGACTTTGGCATATCCAAAGTAGGCCCCTCTATGAAAGAAGGGGCTCCTACATATGTTAGTACAATAGTAAAGGGTAGCATTGGTTACCTAGATCCAGAGTATATTCGGCTGAAGCAACTCACAGAAAAGTCCGATGTGTACTCATTTGGAGTAGTGCTATTTGAGGTCCTATGTGCTCGGCCTGCAATGATGCCCTTATTGCCAAACGAACAAGTAAATTTGGCTAGGTATGCAAAAAGATGCTACGAAGAAGGTACCCTTCATGAAATTGTTGACCCTAATGTAAGGGACGAGATTGCACCAGTGTGTCTAAGGAAGTTCGGAGAGATTGCTGAGATGTGTGTGCGTGATCAAGGGAGCAAACGACCCTCAATGGAAGAGGTAGTATGGTACCTAGAGTTTGCATTGAAGCTTCAAGAAACTGATGAAAACAACAATGAAATTACTACTAGTAGTATTATTCCTAATTGACAATGACAATGGAATGCGTCGTACTACCAGTGATTTTGAGTTGATCACCACCTCATAGGAAATAATAATCTCATCCCAAACTAGTTCTAATGATCCTATTATAACTACATACATTTATACATCCCAAAGTAGTTCTCTTTATATCGTTATCATAATTAAATTGTAGGTAGTCAACATTGCATAATCAAACTACAAACTATTGGATGAGGCAAGCACTATTTTTTCCCCTTCCGATGATATACTATCCGTCTGTTTATTTGATATGATTAATTGGTTGGATGATATTATTAATTGTATAAATGATATGATACATTTGTTGGATGATTATTTGTATAGATGATATCATATATTTTTTTTTTATGATATGAGTGTTTGTCAAGATGGTTTTTTATTAAATCTAATTAATAATTCGGTGGGGTAGAGGTTAATTAGAAGAAATAAGAAAAAATTAGAGTCTAGTTAAGTAAATTAGTGAGTCATTAAGGAAATAGGTTTACATTATGATGCTTTTAAAAGGTTTTTTCTAACAAATTTTCCTATGATTATTTATCTATAGAAAAATTTAGAATCTAGACCTCGAAATTAAATATCATGTTTTGATTTTCGTTCAATATCTCCTCTTATTTTGTGCAAAAGTCAGATCCATAATGTAAAAAAATTAGAACCAAAATATTCAGCAAAATAAAATTTTGGAAAATTTGATAATTACCACCATCTATTATTTGTCAAAATTTAAAATATCACCTCAAGTTTTTTTTTTTTTTTTTTTTAATTTTACCACCTAGTTTTTTCCAAAAGTTTTAAAAACCCCACCACTTTGTGAGATGACGTCATAGTGAGACCTACAATGACGTTTTCCATCTCTTTCCCTCGTTCTATGGATAACTATGGTCTATGGATGTTCGAAATTCGTTGCAAATACTCTGTAATTTCAACAACAAGGTTTTTTTTTAACACAAAACGAAGAGAAATATATTACTAGCCCCTTGGGCTATAAATATTCAGTACAACAAAAGAGCAGCAAACTCTAACATTACCAAGGCTAATGAAAATTTTGGTAATGCTAGAAAACAGCTGAACCAAACTGTTTGGGTCCAATTTAGTCCAATTGGGCCTAAGCACTAAATGATCCAATTAAAAGCCCAAGGTCAAGGTTCAACTCTCCAATTGTGCTAAAGTCAAAGGTCAGCCCACAAAGCAAGCCAATTGGGCTAAGGCCCAACCTCTCCATGTATGATGAGGTATAAAAGCCATCATATTGATACATTCAAAAGGGGGGGGGATTCATTCTGATTCATTGATAGATTCATATGTTCATTGATATATTCCATAAAAGCCTCAAGCAAAAAACTCTTTTGCATAGTGTCTTCTTCTCACACATTGTACTGACTTTAGCATCGGAGGGGCCTTCCTCGGCAACACCCCCGAGGCTAGTTTACGTGTGTTTACTGTGCAGGAAACCTTCGGCCCAACATAACTTGGACCGAATCCAGCCTTCTCCATTTCAGCGGACCTTCGGCAAGGTCCCATTGTTTTCACCCGAAACAATTTGGCGCCGTCTGTGGGGAAGACTTTCAAAAATCTTTAAGCCAAATACCTAACCAAGATCATCTTGCAATTATCTTAGCAGCAATGGCTAAGAACCGCAAGAGCAAAAGCCTCCGTCAAGGAGCGGGCGAAAAGCCTAAAACCCCTACACCATCGCCCTCGCCGGACCGGAACTCTCCCAAGGGTGCCGGCTCGGGGGGAGGATCATACAAGGAGGATTCCCTATATCCCGTAATTCATGACTCTCAATATAGGCCGGGCCACTCTCGGTCTAGCAGGGGTGAGTCCGATCATAGGACATATTCAGTGTCCCAAAGCCAACCATCGGCTGCGCGCCCTCATTCCCACACTCGGCCGAGGACCCCTTTGACGGGGCCCAGCTCGGAAGAGGTGGCCAGAGCGCTGGCAGTACTCATGGAGGCGATGAGGGCACAAAATATGTCACCACCTCGTGATCGAACTCCTCCGCATACCCGGCATCAGCGGAGGAAGTTAGACCATGATGGTGGGAAGCTTCCTTCCTTCCGGGAACTGGAAGAGTGGGAGGAGGATTCTTGGAAAACCGATTAGACTAACAACAATAGAGCAGTGGTAGATATAATAAAACCTAAAATAAAAACATAAACTAATTAAGAAAGCAGACTAGCTTTAAAGTTTTGAAACAACATCCATAACAGCGATTACACACCCAGATTACATTAACCAGATTAAGAGGAAGCGTCAAGATCAGCATCATAGAGACGTGCTTAGCAAATGGAGGAACTAGGAAGTGATCCTTGTGTCCAATGCTCATCTCCAATCCATAGGCAGCTAAACTGTGAGCCGGAACGTTGTTCTCCCTTGGAACATGCCTAATCAGAATGTTACCATTGGTTCTGAGCAGTTCAGAAACATCATTGATGACTGCGTAATGCGCAAAGCTCATGACGTGGAACATGATCCACTGAATTAAAAAGCTTCTTCAGATATTCAAGGAAATTCTGTGACTTTTCATCATATATATATATATATATATATATATATATATATATATATATATATATATACATATATGATGAAATACTACTACGTACGGACTTGCTATTACACTTAAATTTCATCATATTTTGGAATTATTAATAATTAATAATTTGACCGTACCCTAGGGCAATTATCTACATACTCACAGCCACGATTTGAAATTTGATTCGTCCTGAAAGTATACCCATACAAGCAGCTTTGTTGTGTTGGATAACCACAAGTTTGCGTGCGTTGATATGTAGGAAAACTGAAAAAGTCCGGCCGATTGCCATACAGGATATTGTCATAACCGCCGCCGCCGCCAACAGCATCAGCTACCCCAACATATGATTGTGGTGTGCTCATTCCACTGCTTGCAACTGCTACACAAACAAGTATTTGAACAATTATTACTACTTTCACCATCTTCATTGTGGATTTTTTTTTCTTGCTTTGACTAGATAAGATATGATAGTTGCAACTTGCAAGCACTTGTAATTTTAAAATGAATTATTTGCATCACTTTATAGAGTGGGCGCTTACATTTACGTACGATTTGGATAAGAAATCATAGGTCACTTATGGTTTACCATATTACTCACTATTACACCAAGTCTTAGCCTATTGAATATTGATTCCCTTATCCTTCTACTCACTCTTTAAAAAAATATAAAGTAAAACGTAGAGTTAAAAATCAAGTTAAAAATCAAGACATGTCAACTAAAATAGATCAAAAGAGAGTATAACAATGATAGTAGTTTCTTTCCTTATAAAATGTTTTACTCTTTATTATTATTATTATTGTTGTTGTTGTTGTTCGTTATTGTTGTTGTTGTTGTGATATGTTATGCCTTTGAGAAAACCCACATATGAGTAATGTGTTGTCCCACATTAGTTTAGTTTATAAGTAAGAGTTTGTACTGGGAAGTATATCCCACATTGAAGAAATAAGAAAGTTGTGTCCACTTCATAAGGCTAAAGGGCTACTCCCCTCATTTCCATATAGTTTTGAGGTGAAACCTCCTTGGTCGTGCAAAATGAGAAGATGTGTCGGGTAAGGCCCAGACCCGTTTATCATGATACACTAACATTTATTTTTTAATAAGATTATCCATCAACAAAGATTACCAAGCTACAAAAATAAATTTCCCTCAAAAAAAAATAAACAATAGTTTTATTAATACTATACTCCTACTTAGTATTTACTGCCGGTATACCACTATGATATGTTACACCCTCCATTTTTTAATACTTGCTCCATTTCTCCATGGCGTAGTTTTAGGAGAAATTGGAGAAAGAAATAAAATATAGAGATAATGGGGTTAGTGGAAGATAAATTAGAGGAGAGAGAATCTAAAAGTAATTATTTGAGAGAAATGAATTAAATATTATGAAAGGTTTCCAAATAGGAAAATAGAACAAGTATTTAAAACGATCGCAAAAAGAAAGTGGGGCAAGTATTTAAAAACGGCGGATTAATATTAAATTACGGAGTTATGCCTTGTTTGTAAATCAAGATTTACAATTTTGATCACTTTTCCGAACAATGATTATCACCAACTTTTGTAGTTTTGTAGTACTATGTTCTTGTCATAAACAATAAGAAAACGTACTGGCCAGTCAGATCAGATTTTAGTGAAGAAGACTATTGTGCCCGTGACATTTTTTGTATGAACGTGTTTATGTTGTTTGTCGGCAAGGGCGGGGCAAAGAATTTCAGGCCTGTGTGATTTTTAAACTTGGGCCTCCTTTTTCATAATTTAAAAGGATATTTCAATTAAATAATACTTTGTAATTGAGGAAATCCAAATTGATATCCTCTATATCAACAAAATTCTTTGATATAGGGGTAGCATTGTCATTTCACTAATTAAATGAAGGTCAAATGTGGAAAAAAGTTGAAAACCCCTTAAACCCCGTTTTAGGCTTAACATTTTCAAGTGTGGGGTCTTTACCTTCTTCCAAACCATAAATTGTCTTCATCTTTGTCATAGAGAGAAAAAAAAAAATCAAGCTCACATAGTACATGAATGGCGAAATCGAAAAGCACGAACAACTTCAATGGAGAAGGAAGCAAACCTTGCCCTTAGGGTTAACCATGCCCCAAGATTTTAGGGAAGAAGACTATTGTGCCCGTGACATTTTGTGTATGAACGTGTTTATGTTGTTTGTTGGCAAAGGCAGGCAAAGAATTTCAGGCCCCGTGTGATTTTTAAACTTGGGCCTCCTTTTTCATAATTTAAAAGGGTGTTTCAATTAAATAATACTTTGTAAATATTAAATTCAATTATGAGATTAAATGTAAAATCACAAGAAATAAAACCATAACATTTTCACAAGTAATTTCAAGGCCAATTGTCTCAATAATTTAAGTATATAGCAAAAGACATTATCATAAAAATTTTAAGGTAAGTTGTATCTAAAAACCCTGGTAAATCATAGACAATAATATACGATAGAAAGTTAATAAAAAAAAATAAAAAAACAATCAACTAATCGTTGATGAGTCGAACCACTCACTTCCATTTTGAAACTACTTGCTCATAACCAGTAAATTAAGGAGATTTATATTTAATTATATACTCATAAAAGTTATTTATCTGATTTTGGAGCCCCACTAATTAAGGGGTCACACGCAGTCACTCAACTTGTACCGCCTTTCCGCCGCCCCTGTTTGTCGGTCTAGCTCAATCTAAATAGAAAATTTTTCGAATCATTTTTCGACACCTCAATCTAACTATTTCCTCCTTTTCCTATTACTAGGGAAGCCTACGCACGCGATACAACTAGCATTCGTAGGGGAGTTATACATTCGAACCTCAAAGTTTACGTACTTTGAGTTGTTGTTGAATTATACTTGTCTTAGGTCGATCAATAAGAGATTATATCTTAATTTATGAAATTGTAAATACATGTTTTGTGTTATGATTATTTATTTTGAAAATGATCATATATATTATAACTCGCCAATGTACGCATTACTATATAAAAAGGCAATCAAATCTATTGCATCATTCTATAACTACAATAGGAGTATTATGGAGAGGACAAAACCCTCATTGAACACCCTGGCACAAGGCTATGTGAATTAGTATATTTCCCTGCAATTCGATAGTCTTTGGACCATATAATAGAGGAGATAGCATTTATGAGCTACGAGTATTTAACTGATGATGTATGAGTATGTCTTAAGCTTTCCTATAATCATAAACTATAAGCTTTTCCTAGGATAAAAATCGAGCCAATGACATAGTAACTAAAGCAAAATACATCTTCAAACATTCTCTTAATCAAAAGCATAAGACTATACTACCTCATATGTAAGACATAATTTTGGAATTTTTTTACTTTTTTTCGCCCAAAAATAAAAACTGTCGAAATGTTTACCATGGTCCCTAATACTCGTCGGGCATCCAATTAGGTGGGTGAAACCATCCAATTTGGCTTTAAATGACCAATTTACCGGTTTCCAACTTGCACCAATTTCATTAACTCAACCCTACCATGAACATTTATAATAACAAATAATGATCATATATAGTTCCAAACAAGCATTATATGACCCCGAGATATATCCCCTAAAATTTCAAGACTTTTTAACACCAGGTCCCGAAAACTCCAAAATTGCTCAAAAGTGTGGATATAGGCATATAGCCTTCAATTTTGGAATTTTTTGACTTTTTTTTGCCCGGAAATAAAAATTGCCGAAATGTTTACCGTGGTCCCTAATACCCTCTGGGAGTCCAATTGGTTGGGTGAAACCATCCAATTTGCCTTTAAATGGCCAATTTACCGATTTACAACTTGCACCAATTTCATTAATTCAAGCCTACCACGAACATTTATGACAACATATAATGATCATATATGTTTCCAAACGGCATTATATGACCCCGAGATGTATTCCCTAAAATCTCAAGGTTTTTCGACACCGTACCCAATCTCCAAAATTTCTCAAAAGCGTGGATATAAGCCTTCAATTTTAGAATTTTTTTTTACTTTTTTTTGCCCGTAAATAAAAATTCCCAAAATTTTTTACCATTATCCCTAATTCCCAGCCTCCGAAAGTCCAATTAGGTGGGTAGAACCATCCAATTTGCCTTTTAATGGGGAATTTACCGGTTTACAACTTACACCGATTTCATCAACTGAAGCTTATCTACCACGAACATTTATGACAACAAATAAAGATCATTTGTGGTTTAAAACAGTATTATATGACCCCGAGATGTGTCCTCTAAAATCTCAAAACTTTTCGACACCGGGCCCCGAAACCTCAAAAAATTATCAAAAAGCGTGGATATTAGCCTTCTATTTTGGAATTTTTTTTTACTTTTTTTCGCCCGAAAATAAAAATTGCAGAAATATTTACCATGGTTCCTAATACCCTCCGGTAATCCAATTAGGTGGTTGGAACCATCCAATTTGCAATTAAACGGCTACTTTACCAGTTTCCACATAAGCAGTTCCCATAACTATTATTTGCAGTCTTACAGTATGGGCTCAGGCCATTAGTTTTATCGATGCAATTATCGGCAACGACAAGGTTGGTGCTCAAACTGAAAACTAGTAGGATCAACAGAAGAGTTGAAGGGGAGAAACAAGGACGACGAACGAACAGAATGTTACTCTTACTCATGGTGTTTACCTCTCTCGTATGATCGATTTAATTTCTTATAAAAATGGAAAAAATAAGTGTATTGTGTAGTATGTGATTGGGAGGTTACTTCTGAAGATATAAAATATCAAATGAAGCTTATATAGTGAATTTGATCTCATTAATTATGTAAATAGTACTTGACCCACCAATTATTTTATGTACTTTGTACAGCTTTTTCTAATACTCACTTATATATGGTCTTTTATTTGATAAATTCGGCTTCATCTTTAGTGAATAGTAAAGGCAACAAGCTTCACCATTGTTGATTCGCCAAAAAGTGTAGAAAGTTAGTTTAAATAAAATACAATATTGTACAAGACTACAAGTGAAATTTGTTGAAGGATTAATAAAAATAAGGCAAAAACCTTACTGAGTGAGCATGCATATTAATTATTAACTTTGATGATACAGTAATAGAGTAGTTTCATTCAAAACTTTTTATAAATAGTCATTTTATTTTAATACGCGTATAATATTAGTTTTCATGTGCCTAAAAATATCATTTTACTTTTCATGTGGTCGTCGGTGCAGCCGTATAGATGGGACATTTGGTGCACCCAATCTCACGGAAGCCAAGGACCAATGATATTGATCAGAATACTTATCTTGGGATGAAAATTGAAGTCATAAATTAGAAAAAATTAAAAATCACTTTACGGCGACTGACGCTTGCAGTCTACTACGGAGTATAATATCAGCAATGTACATAACTTAAGATGAAACTATCCACATTCAGTACGTACACAAAATAAAATAATAATTAAAAAAATGCTAAACTTATTGCAATCCTTCTCCTACATTATTAGCCTTATTACACTAACAGCCCTACTAATCACACCAAGCAGTTGCAAGACTAACAATTACCTCATCAACTGCGGATCACCCACCACCACCTCTGCGGATAACAAAACATGGTACACCGACGAGGACTCAACCTTCGCGCCTTTAACAGCCAACAAAGATGCCACGAAAGTAGCCCACGTCACCAATGAGGATCCATCCTATTCAGGCAAACCCCCTTGTAGCGGAGCTCGCATTTTCCATTCACCTTTCACTTATTCCTTCCCCATCTCGCCCGGCCCTAAAATCGTGCGCCTTTACTTCTACACTTCAGCCACCTACGACAATACCTCCGTTGATAACTTCTTTCTAACTCTAAAGGCCGACGGAGGCAATGGTTCCTTCACCCTTTTAGGTAACTATAGCGCTTATCTTCACCAGCAATTCTTCAAGAACTCTTTTCCTGATCCTGTTATTGGGAAAGAGTTCCTTGTTATGGCTACGTCCTCGCGGCTCAAACTTACCTTTTCACCCACATTGACGGGTTCTTTGGCCTTTGTCAATGGCATTGAGATTGCCGCGGTGCCAGACAACCTCTACGATTATTTCAACCCCCAATCTTCTGATGAAACATTGTCTTCCAACAGGTATACAAAGTTTCGGACTCTAGTAGATTAAAATTAAATAAACACTGTATTTTTATTTGTTCATTCTTTGGTAGTTGACATATTTTAAATTTCGACACTATTCATAAATTCTACTTTAATTTAATTTAGAATTTTGATAAATATAGTGCAATGTGAATTTGTAAAAATTGTTCTAATATATGTTTTCAAAATGTCACCTTATTAATTGTAACTTTTACCAATTAATGATTGAAAATAATAATGGGTGAACTTGTACATTGATAACCATAATAAACGAAAGAATAAACTAAAAAAACAAAGGAAATGCTCTCTCCGTTTTTAAATACTTGCTCTATTTGCCTTTTTCGGTCGTTTTTAAATACTTGCTTTATTTCTTTTTGGAAAATTTGTCAAAAATAACACGACCTTTGGCCGGTCTTCCCTAAATAACACCACCTTTTGATTATTCCACAATAACACCACCTTTCCTATACTTCTTCCCAAAATGAAACAAAATTATGGGTGACCTGATGCAGCAGGTAAACTTGATGACGTGGCCTGTATGTTGGGGTAAAGTCAAGGATTGACTTAAATTCCCCCTCCCCTTAGCCTACGTGGAATATAACCGTTAGGTTATTTCCACTTTCTCTATAAAATATCCCCCTACCCTGTTCTTTTCCCCTGTTCTTCTCCTCTTTGTTTCTTCCCTTTTTATTTTTTTTCTGTTCGTTCTTTCTTTTTCCATCTTCTTTTTCCATTCTTTGAACTGAGCATGGCTGCTAGGAGGTCTAACTCATACGCATCAGGTTCATCCTCGAGCAACATCAGGGTTGGGAATGCGCAAGTTCGCTGCAATAATTGTGGGAAAAAAACTCTAATTAAGATAGTGAGAAAAGGCCCTAATTTTGGGATGAAGTTCTATGGTTGTCCTATGTGGCCAGTAAGTTAAATCTAACTTTGTGTTGAATTGTGGCAAATGGATTGTTTGTGTATTTATTTTGTTTATTGATTTGTAATTTGTGTAGGACACTCAGTGCGATTTTTTCAAATGGGTAAATGAGCACACTGATGTTGAAGAGTACCAGTTCAAGTTGTTGGAAAAGGATACTATCATATGTGAATTAGAGGTTGAACAAAATTTCAGAGATGAAAAAATAAAGAAATTGCAGTTGAAGAAAGCTAAGTTGGAGGAAGAATTGAAAGAAATGAAGAAAGAAGTCATTGAAATGAGGATTGAGTTAGAGAAATTGAGTAGGACTGGAAAAACTTTGTTTTTGGCAATGTTTGTTTCTTTGATGTTGTTTGTTGTTGTTTTTTTTTTTAAATAGTTTGACTCATAACTAGGGGCTGTAATGGATGTGTTATGGATAAGCTATATTGAATAATGTATGGAATTTGGTTAGTTTTTGTTTACAATTTGCACACCTGTTTTGACAGCACTTGTATAATCTTTGATGATAGCAAATTTTGCAAAAAATGACATAAAAAATAGGCATAAAAAATGACATAAAAATAGGCATAAAAAATGACATAAAAATTAGGCATGAAAATGACATAAAAAATGACATTAAAATTAGGCCTTTGACATAAAAGTTGACATAAACTGATCACAGTAGTTTGCTAATACATCAAAAGAGGCCCAGCATTGTTTAATAGCACTTGTTCAAAGTGCACAACCACATAAAAAAAACACAGCATGTTTGTTTAACAGAAACAAATGAAAATAGTACTAGTTCCATGGACTAAAACATAAGTACACAAAAGTTTCATGATTCTTCACGCATAAACCACAGAAAAGACTTCAGCTCCATCAAGGATTCAGGCTGCACAAGGACTGATGCATCATAGGTCAGATATAGATCTTGCCCTTGTTGCTGGAACCTGAGACATAAAAAAATTGGTAAGAAATTGACAGAAAGGCATGAAATTGGCAAAAAAAAATTTTAAAAAATACACAAAAAATTCACAAAGCTGCATCAGCTTACCATTGGGTTTCCATCATCACCAAACAAGACACCAATTCCAATTATTGACTTTGCTCTCCCTTTACCCCTAGCCCTTCCTCTCCCTTGTCCTGGAACTGGTGCCTCACCAGATTCAAAGCCTCTCTCTGCAACTCCCCTTCCTCTGCCCCTCCCTCTTCCCTGAGCTGCAGATTGGGATCTAGTAATGGTCTGAGACACACCTCTAGACCCCTCACCAGAGAGAATGAGCCTTCCACCCCTTCCTAACTGACTGGGTTGTGCAGAAGTGTTGTGATGGGCAGAGGTTCCTGTTGCAGTTGGGCTTGTTGCTGGAGTTGAAGATGAAGCTAACTGGGATTGTTGTGTTGGTACAGGTGTTGCTGCAGGTCCTTTTGGTCTTCCCTTAGGCTTTTTTGCAGGTGGTGCTATTGCTTCATAATCCTTCTCTTGACAGCCCCTCTTGTTGTGCCCCTTCTTGTTGCATTTGGAGCATGTCATCTTAATGTCTGACCTACTTAGAGAACCTGGCTTCTTAGGATTCTCAAGGGGGTGCTTGATCCTGTTCTTTCTGGGTCTGCCAGGACCTATCTTGATAGGTGGGGGGTCCAAATTACATAGAATCATTGGCCAATACTTCTCCCCTTCACAAGGAGGAATGGACCCACTATACACCTTCTTATAAGTTTCCACTTTGTAGCAGTCATCAACATAAGCCTCAGGTTGTCTATTTTTTTAAAAAAATGCAAGCAATAGCATGGCAGCATGGAATGCCTACCATATTCCACTTTCTACAACTACAACTCCTACCAACTAAGTCTACATTGACATGGTCATAGTAAAATCTCACATTAAACTTACTCTCATATGAAGGTAGTACATCACAGTTTGCTGCCTTTTCTTTCTCTTTCTCTAACCTAGCTTATACCCTAGGACAAATTACAGAAGTCCATTTCTCCATTTCTTCTCTTTTTTTTTTACTAACCTTTGCATCAAGGCAACCCTAATATCCTCAAACATGAAAATTAAGTGCTTAGTCCTAGCATTAATGATGTAAGCATTAAATGTTTCAGCCATATTGTTTGTGATAGCATCAGTTTTGATACATGGGTTCATGAATGCTCTACAAAAGAACTTAGGGTTATACCTCTTGAATGCAAGAGCAGCCTCTGGATTTATTTCAGTCAGTTTTTCTATTGCATCATTGAAATCAGCTTCATTGTAGCATTTGGCTATCTTCCAGAACTGCAGCTTCATCTCCTCTCCTTTATATGTCCTGTGCCAAAGGGCATAAATATGCCTGGCACAGTGCCTATGCTCTGCCTTAGGGAGCACCACAGCAACAACACTAAGTATAGCCTACAAAAAACAGCATCAAACACCATAGCATTACATACATTTATAATCAATGAATTAAGAAAACCAAACAAATGAAATAAGCATAAAGTGTCACCTGATGCTCATCTGAAATCACAGCAACCCCTTCACCATCCCCAAGGTCCAAACATGACTTGAGATGGTTGAAGAACCACTCCCATGACAGACTGTTTTCCCCTTCCACCACAGCCCAACAAATAGGATACATTTGCTCATTAGGGTCCCTTGATACAACACTCAAGATCTGACCCCCTAGGAAAGTCTTTAGAAAAGCTGCATCAACACATATCACTCCCCTACATCCTGCCTTCCACCCCTCTCTAACACCATCAAAACATGTGAATAACCTTTGAAACATTAGGGTAGAAGTATTGGGTTGTGGAGCAACTACCAACTTCAACACAGTCTGTGGACTTTCACCTTGCAATGCCTTTAAGTATCTCTCAACCTTCATGTAATGCTCTTTCATAGAGCCATGCAACAGCCTGTGAGCCCTATACTTGACTTTGTATGCAAAGTCTCTAGACACAATCATTTTGTAAGCTCTTCTTACAGTTTCAACAATTTCTTTACTGGCCAATGTGGCCTAGCTCTGAAAACCTCTAGCAACTTCTTTGCCACCCAAGTAGTTTTAAGTTGCCTATTCTTACTCATGTTCCTATGGCATGTATGTGAATCAACTGCAGTCTTCACCATCCATGTTGAATCCCTTGAATGCATTGAACAGTACACATAAAAGGGGCAATCTCCAACACATTTAACTCCTAACCTCTGCTTGTCTTTCCAACTCACAGTGTATTTCAAATCCCTCCCCTTGCATCACTGCATATTTAGTTACAACATCCTTAAAGTCTGTATTGTTTGCAAATCTTTGACCTACCTTCCATTTAAACTTGGTGAAATCACCATCAGGCCTCACTACCTCCCCCTTAACACCTTCTACCTCATCATCACTGCCAGTTGGGGTGTCAATGTCTTCATCATCATCACAATCACTTCTCAAACCTCCCTCATATTCTACTTCTTTGCCAACACCACCATCATCAACTACCTTCCCCTCGCAGGCTTCCTTTTCCAACTGCTCAGCTAATTTAAGTATCCTAGAGTTACAATCCTTAACTCTATCCCTTGCTTCCCTTAGCTCATCATCACTCTCATTAGTTTCTGCATCAATGAATTGAGTTTCTTCTATATCTTCAGCTGCCTCAGCTTTTAGATCTTTAGGACCCTCATCACCATCACCATCTACACCCTTATCTTGATTCCCTCCCTCACCTTCTCCATCATCCTCAGGGTCATATGGTGGATCTTCTCCATCACTAGACTCACCATCAGAACCAACTAAATCTCTCCAGTTCAAAGGGTTGTCTGGCCTACTATCCTCCCAATCATAGTCTTCCACAAAATTTGTGTCTACAGTAGGCAAACTAGCAGTAGAGGCAAAGTCTAAATATGGGAATTGAGAAAGGTTTGGAAACTCAGTTTGACTAAAGGTAGGAATCTCATAAGAGGGTAAGGGGGCTTCAGGTTCTTTGTGCTTGGGATTATATCTGTTATATTAATAGTGGTGGTTGGGTCAGTGTGTTGTGATGAAGATGTAGGTGGGTTTTGGGGAAGGTAGGCATCTTTTTTAAAAGATGATGTGGTGGCTGCTTTTGGTGATGATGTGGCAGCATCTTTCTTTTGACCAGGACAAGTGTTTGGGGGTGTGAACAACTTTGTCTGTGGTCCCTTCTTGGGAGTCATTTTTTTTTCTTTTCTTGGATTTAGTTGGGGGAATTTCAACTATTTTTCTGCTGTTTTGGATTGGGTAGTGCCAACATCACTTTCCTTTGGAACAGGTTGACTCACACCAACTTCCTTAGTTTCACTAGGCTCAATATGTGCATGAAGTGTGTCATAATCATACTGCATAGCATACACAACAATACCCCTATTTTGAACCCCTAACTCACTCATCACTCTACATTCTTCATCCCCATGGATTACTCTCAAACCTTTGTCCACACTCAACCCAGGAATTTGGTAAAACAGTTGATTCACCCAATCCATCCCACTTTGCTTCCCAAACTCTAAAAACTCCCAATAACAGAGTTCATCTGGGTCTATAAGAAAATTAGTGCACTCCCCACCCTTATACACCAATTCACCATTCTTACCCAATTCAAATTCACCCCCATGCAAGAATCTGACAGTCAAACTGTCAAAATTCTTACTCTTTGCAACCTATAATTAGACACCACAATTAGGCTACAAACAACAGTGCATACATCACATCAATACTACACCAAATCCGCAATCCTACGTACATCAATAATCTAACTAATCAACAAACATTCATCACAACAAGCATTTTAAAAAAATATATATACCACTGATTCCTCAAATTGCCCAGCACAATAATAACAAAGTAAACAAACTAAATTGCATAATTAATCACTTCAAATTGAAATTAAAATGCATCCAATTCATAATCCAAAACACCACAATGAATTTCAAAGTATCTAAACAAAAAAAAATCGTACCTTTTTCTTAGGCATTTACACAAAATATCGAAAATTTACTATCTTCAATCTGCAACAATCGTACTCAATCAACCTCCAAAGTTTCCGCAATTAATTTTTTACCTTCAATTGAATTATGATGCCTTTGTTTTTCAGAAAGAAGAATTGGAGATAGAGTGAAATTGAGAGGGAAATGAATTAAAGAGGGAAACAGAGAGTAGTTGAGGCATTTAATTCCACGTAGGCTAAGGGGAGGGGGAATTTAAGTCAATCCTTGACTTTACCCCAACATACAGGCCATGTTATCAAGTTTACCTGCTGCATCAGGTCACCCATAATTTTGTTTCATTTTGGGAAGAAGTATAGGAAAGGTGGTGTTATTGTAGAATAATCAAAAGGTGGTGTTATTTAGGGAAGACCGGCCAAAGGTCGTGTTATTTTTGACAAATTTTCCTTTCTTTTTTTGGAAAGGTTTTAAAATATTTAATTAATTTCTCTCATCAAGTGGACCCAATAATATTAATTCCATATTCCCTATCCTTCAATTCTCTCCACTACTTATGGTTTTTTTTTCATTTTTATTCTTCCACCAATCCTGGTACCTCTATATTTTATTACTTTCTCCAATTTTTTCCTAAAACTCTGCGCATTGAGAATAGAAGCAAG